ATATACACGATGCGACCCCCGCACCCCTTGAGGATGCGTTGCCCTCTCAGCCTGCGTCAGAACTTAATATGATCGAGTCACCGCCTCATAAACCTGAACCTGATGTCCCTGCTACTGCACCGAGAGTGATCCCAAACAGACTGATACACCGGACATCCCTTCCTGTTACAGACGTAGTGGGGAGAGAAGAACGAAAACGTCACGAGGAAGCCAGGAAGGAAGAGCTAGAGCACGAATACGAGATCAAGCTGCAGTATGTGTTTCTTTTCACTTGGACGATGTCTATTAACTTTAAGGATCAATAAGGATGCTAAATGACATGAAGGCACAGAATCATCGATTGCGCCAAAAAACACAAAGGATTGCTTCGGAAGTGCGGGAATATGACTTGCTACAAGCAAGGCTGGCCCAGACGCATGGCATCCCGTATCAAGGCTTGCCCCAAGAGCTTCTAGATGCTTTTAGCCATGATCCTTCGTCAGTGACTGGCGGGACCCGGATGTTGAGTGGCTGGAAGGCTGTCGAGGACATACATGCTCGTATCCTTCGACAACGAGATATTTTCCAAATCTACCTTTCTGTTGCCGGGGAAGTCGTTGTCTCGGTACCGGATAGTTTGCTGGACAAACCAATATCGTCGCTTATGGACACGCTGGGAGGAGTAGGACGTGAGATGGAAGCCCTGAGTCTCAAGGAGTTGGGAGTGGCTAGCGCTCTGGCGAAAGTCAAGAGCCTGCATGCCCGAGTCAAGGTCATGTACAATAAAGCCCTCTCGCACACCTCGCTTATTTACCCAGAGGTAAAGGTCAAGTTATCAATTATTTCATTATGTATTGAGCATCTTCTAGCTTTCTCACATCATCGCGCTAGAGGAAAGCTACAAGGATCAATACCAACAAGTTTGGGAGTTTGGAATGGATGCTTTGACGTTTATCCTGGATACCGTTGCACCGTTTTGGAGGAGTTATGGGACGACCATCGGCGAGGATATCAAAGATTTCCTCATTATACCCTGGTACCGGAACGAATTCACGGGAGAAGAGAAGCGATACAATATCCAGTCCTTTCCTCGCCGCTCCTTCCTTCACTGGTTCGCGCTGTTCTTCCTGTTTTGGTTCACGGTGGGCATCACCTTTCTGCAAATCCGCGCAGCCATATTTTGCACGTTCATCTACAAGCTTTCTTGGATCGACAATTCCGGGTTCCGATGGCTTATCATGCCGTCCATCTGGAGCTCTGTCGTCATCCTATGGTTTGCCGTTTTTTTCGAGATAGGCATCATTATTCTGCAGCTTAGAGTCATTGGGTGGTGGTTGGGTTGGTCAGTAGGCCTCCTTTCTTGAGATTTTTCTGCCTGTTGTTTATTCGGAATCCGGACATCTGCATCACTGTAATTGCATATCGCACGCACGTATTTGGTGTAAAACGTAATAATGCTATCTAGGTCTGCTCGGCATTGGGCACTGGTGCTTTACTTGTTTGTTCTGTAGCTGAGATTCCAGTGTACCGTGACGGTACAAAAACCGTTTGGGTGTTTGAAGTGGTGGCAGGTTGATTTCGGCTATCTGGAGTATGCGCGGCGCTGTTTTGGCGCGATACTTGTGCGGGCGATTGGTAGGTATATCGGCTACCGCTTACTTGCGGTATGTCGTCTATTGCGCAGCCAGCTTCAACGCATGGTCGACAATATCCTATGTGTCAAGAGCAAGTTGAGAGTAGTCCCAGAGTAAGAGTGCGGGAACCTACTTCCGCCCATAATTAGAGGGACATCTGTTTGACCGCACGCAAAGCAAGCTATCTTTGGCAAGGGAGGCACGGGTTTCGGTTGCGACTGGCGTTTTTTCTTGGCTGGAGGTGGGACTGATTCTCCACCTTGCTGCGTGGTGCCTGCTTCTGGAGGCGGAGGTGGAGGAGGTTTACGAGGTGCCGCTTTGCGTTTTGGTCTACTGCTTCCCTCAGCGGTTGGCTTGAGGAGCTTCGTAGAGAACGGAGGAACAGCCGCCTATGAACTGTTATGCTCAAGTAAGGTAGTAAAATTGGAGCGCACTGACGTTCTGAATCTGCGCCAACAAAGCGCTTTCTGCTACTCTATGTGCCAAGTACGTTCTAGTCGGTGTATTCTTCGTGCAACGGATATGAGAGAGCCCACTTCACAAGGATGAAATACTCACAGTGGAAGCGAGAATTTTTCGGTTTTCCTCTACTTTGTCTTGCGGGCCAATCCAGCGTAATACTGAATCCCATACAGCAGCACCTGCCCCAGTGAATCGAAAAGTCACCACTTCCTGAGCTTCTGGTGCCTTCGGTTGTGCGTCTGCCTCAGGTTGAGACACCGGGGCAACTTTAGTCTGTTGTTCAAACGGAAGACGTGTAGATAGGGTTATTTCGCCATATGATCCCATTGACCCAGTCACTGGAATGAAATTGGCTATAGCCGGTCCACGAGGAAAAATCCAACGGTCTGCCGGAGACTCGCGAAATTCGATGACGATATCAAAATCCTTAGTGTGATAGGCTGGTCGGATGGATGACACTGCGCTAGTTGCCACGGCTGTTGCCGTGTTCTGCGCTTGTGTTGCGGATGGCATTGAGTAAGCGTCCAGGCTCAATCCGGATGACGATGCGAGTTGTTGTATCGTTAGTCCAAGATTTTTGAGTTGGTCTAGGGATGCGTTTCCCGATGCAGCCAATTGTATCAAGTTCGCTAGGGTAGGATTGGAGAGAGCTGCCGCATTCACTTGATTGATGAGCGTCGGTGTTGAATTTGTCAAAGATGAAATGAGTGGAGATGTTCCTTGTGGAACCGCCGGGGCAGAGGCAGAGCTGGTAGAAGTAGAGGGTAGAGGTACGAACACGGGATGATAGTGAACTTCAAAGATGGTTGTGTCCGTGAACATGTGCGGACCAATCTCTAAAGTGCACCTGCCGCGATTGTACATTGTATGCGGGGGTGGGACAGCATCAGCTGGCTTTCCACCCCTTGATCGGCTAGAGAACTTTGGAAATGTTGAGCGTAACCATTTATCTCTTGCTGCAGACAATAGTCAGCCTCCCACAGGTAAAAATACTGCTACACTAAGCATACATTGCTTGAGTGACTGTAAAATGACGAAGCTGGGAAGAGTGTTAGATGATGATCCATAAGAAGATGGAGAAGGGCGACCTGTCTGCTATGCCTTTTAATTTGGAGGCATCTTGCTCAGTGTTGTCCAGCTCCCAGTCTGGCTCCTGACCTACAGGCAATGCGATGTTCTGGATCCGATTCATGAGGCGTTGTTTACGTATGTTTGCCAGATCCTTCGAAATGAATGCCGGAACAAAAATCGCTTGACATACCCGTCATCGACCATCCATGAGTACACGAGTTCGTAAGTGCTCCATACATACTCATCTTATAATTCATCATCATCTTCTCCGTAGAGAAGGGAACTACGATCTTTAGACCGGTCGCCAAAGCGCGATCTCGCGCACCCGATGCCAATGCAGCATCGAGGCAACCAACGGCCATCCCTGATTCGCGTCCTCCAAACCCCCCTCAGGCTTCTCCACAACATGCTCCAACTGTCATACCTGAGACAGCCCCCTCCCTTCCCGCTGCATCTTCCTCCATGCCGCCGCCATTCGTGGTTCCTGTCGCAATCCCTACCACTACTATACGCCAACCTCAGAGAGGATCTTCAATGCTCATCAGCAACCCAATACTTCTGCCCATGACTCGAGATACAGATGTTTCTCAGCGGCTTTCCCCACTCCCTATTATTCAGGAATCTCCTGTCCCCACGGCTGTTGAGACCGAATCAGAAGCATCCAGCTCCAGAAAACGTAGGTCTCAATCTCGGGCAACCCCTGAAGGTCCGAAAAAGTCTCGCAAATTGCGCGCTTCTTCCTTGCCCTACGACCCCGACGCAGACCCCGGAGAAGATTTGGATCCAACTGCCGTGACCATGGCCGCATTATGTGACGATAACGGATGGGGTCGTGTCAGTAGCAAAGCAGCTCAAATTGTGGACAATCACTTGGCATGGAAAAGATCGAATCGGGAGAAGAGAGCACAAATGAGAGCTAACATGGAGGCGAAAAAGTATGGTCGGAATGATGATGATACTGGGCAACCCAGTCAGAATAGCTCTGCGCCTGAACAGAGCACTGTTACGAAGGAGTCTGCAGCATCTGCAGAACCTGGTTCCGCACCGGCGAACGAAGGGGAGCGCCAAGGCGCGGATGAAGATCCAAGCGGTAGCGGATTTGACTATTCGCAAGACGTCGCTACCAGTCGATATAACGTCCAAATCCGTATTGGACCCAATGGAGAAACTATTATCGATGAAGAGTCTCTATTTGTGGATAGGAATACCACAGATGAGACTGCGGACTATACTCATGTCGAGGAGTCAGACGTTACAAAATTTGTAAATTCTGGCACGTATGGGAGGCGTTACCGAAGTTCTCGCTGGAGTGCAGAGGAGACAGAGTTATTTTTCGATGTAAGTGTTGGTGTCCAAAGAGGATGATTTCGTTCACATGCACTTGCAGGCACTATCGCAATTTGGCGAGAACTATGAGTTAATATCATATGTGCTACCTGGTCGCGACCGTAAGTCGTGTAAGAATAAGTTCAAGGCGGAGGACAAAAAGAACCCGGCAAGAATCAACTATTGCCTGAACAACCGTCAGCCCTATGGTAAGTCCCACTGACTTGTTGCTGGGGAAGCGATGACTTCTTGCACTGTACTAGATATGCAAACTCTGTCACGTATGACAGGAAAGGATTTTAGTGGTCCAACCCCCGAGATCCGACCACCACCCGTCCTCACCCTCGCTGAAACCGAGGGAGCTCCATCAAATTCAGCAGTAGGTGTAAAGAAACAGAGCCAAACTCCGCGTCCGGAAGATGATGGAGAGGAGGTTCTTGGTGATATATCCAGTTACGAGTAGTAGTGTTATTTACGTTCCTCACAAAATCTAAGTCTGTTGTTGCTCAATGGTTGATCTGAAAACAAGCCGGGGTAGCTCAGCTGGGAGAGCAACAGACTGAAGTGAATGATTGGTTTCTGGAGGTCCCGTGTTCAATCCACGGTCCTGGCATTTTGTTTTTCGTTCGTTCTAGTATTTGATCACAACACATGTCAACAAACTCACTAACGCGTCTTGCACACCGACGTCGACGTCTGGCTCGACCTTTCCAGCTCTTACTCCTCATTCTGCCCTTGTAATTATACGCACTTGCATAAAAATCGATACACGGATTCCGTTCTCCAGGACCCGTTCCCAAAGTTCCACAGTTCCCATTCCATAGTCGTTTGTTCGTCTGAATCATGAACGTCGAAGGTATTTTCAGTTTTCCTTCAAACATCCGATCCCTGACTGAAGCAAACTCTCGAGAACTTGATCCCTTGCAGGTGCCCGAAAATTATGAAGACCCCAACTACGGCATGGAGGAAGACGAGGATGAATTCGAAGAGATAACGCAGGAAGACTGCTGGACTGTCATTTCCAGCTTCTTCGAGCAAAAAGGTCTTGTCAGGCAGCAATTGGACTCTTTCGATGAGTTTGTACAAAACACCATGCAAGAACTCGTGGACGAGAATGCGGATCTTATCCTCGACCAGGCCGATCAACATACTGGCCATGACACAGACATGACACGGCGCTACGAGATCAAGTTTGGCCAGATTTACCTTTCACGACCCACTGTTACAGAAGCAGATGGCTCTGTGGTCCCAGTATTCCCCCAAGAAGCTCGTTTGCGAAACTTGACGTACTCAGCTCCGTTATATATTGAAATGAAGAAGAGAGTCCTTCTTGGGCGCGAAGATCCCGACGGGGCGCCTGGAGAGGTTCTTTGGGAGTCAGAGCGGCAAGAGGCACCTGAGGATACCACCAAGGTGTGGATTGGCAAGGTGTGTTTTATGTGCTGCCGAAGTCTGTGGTCGTCGACTTAGCCTGATGTACAGGTCCCTATCATGCTCCGCTCAACGTTCTGTATACTGCGAGACTTGCAAGATCAGGACTTGTATGACTTAAACGAGTGTCCGTATGATTCAGGAGGTTACTTCATCATCAACGGCTCGGAGAAAGTCCTCATTGCTCAGGAGCGTATGGCGACCAACCATGTATATGTCTTCGCCAAGGCGCAGCCATCACCCATAAACTTCTTGGCCGAGATTCGGAGTGCCGTGGAGAAAGGTGGCAAGACCATCAGTCAATTCCAGGTCAAAATGTTCCACAGAAACCAGGAGCGATCGGTAAGCATAGCTCAATACTACTGCTGGTTTCTATTCACATTAGTTTATAAAGTTGGGTAACGTCATGAAAGCTACCATCCCTTACATTCGCGTCGACATTCCAATCTGGGTCGTCTTCCGTGCTCTCGGTGTCATTTCCGACCGTGACATCCTGGAACACATTTGCTATGACATGCAGGATGCCCAGATGCTCGAAATGCTCAAGCCATGTATTGATGATGGTTTTGTCATCCAGGATCGTGAGGTGGCTCTTGATTTCATTGGAAACCGTGGAACCACTACTGGTTTGTCAAGAGAGCGGCGTATTCGCTATGCGCAAGAGATTTTGCAGAAGGAGATGCTTCCTCATGTCTCCATGTCGGAGGGCTCAGAGTCAAAGAAGGCCTACTTCTTTGGGTACATGATTCACAGACTACTGCTCGCTGCACTTGAGCGGAGAGAGCTGGACGACCGTGATCATTTCGGGAAGAAACGTCTTGATTTGGCTGGTCCTTTACTTGCTGGTCTATTCCGCATGCTGTTCAAGAAATTGACCAGGGATGTTTACCGTTATCTTCAGAAGGTGTGCCATTATGTCGTGTTGCATGCGTGCTCGTGCTTCATTACTTCATAGTGTGTGGAGTCCCACAAGGAGTTCAATCTTTCGCTGGCTGTTAAGCATCAGACAATTACCAACGGCCTCAAATATTCCCTCGCTACCGGCAACTGGGGCGACCAAAAGAAAGCCATGTCGTCAAAGGCTGGTGTGTCTCAGGTGTTGAATAGGTACACTTACGCATCCACTCTCTCGCACTTGCGTCGAACCAATACTCCTCTTGGTCGTGAAGGCAAGATCGCTAAACCTCGTCAACTACACAACACGCACTGGGGCATGGTATGTCCTGCCGAAACACCAGAAGGGCAGGCTTGTGGTCTCGTCAAGAACCTTGCTCTCATGGCATGTATCTCCGTCGGTTCTTATTCTGCACCGGTCATCGAGTTCTTGGAGGAATGGGGGCTGGAGTCACTAGAGGAGAATGCCCATTCATCAACGCCTTGTACAAAAGTCTTCGTTAACGGTGTTTGGATGGGTGTCCACCGTGATCCCGCAAATCTCGTGAAGACAATCAAGAAGCTTCGTAGGAAGGACGATATCAGTCCTGAAGTATCTGTTGTTCGCGATATCCGTGAGCGGGAGCTACGGTTGTATACAGATGCTGGTCGTGTTTGTCGACCTCTCTTTATCGTGGAGAACCAGCAGCTCGCCCTTCAGAAGAAGCATATCAAGTGGTTGAACCAGGGCTACCGTGATGAGGATGGGGAGGAATTCAAATGGGAGCAGCTTGTCAAGAATGGTATTATCGAGTTGCTGGACGCAGAGGAAGAAGAGACTGTTATGATCTGTATGACTCCGGAGGACCTCGAGAACTCTAGACTGCAGTCAGCTGGTATCGATCAACAGAATGATACCGAGTACGACCCGGCTGCACGGCTGAAGGCAGGCATCAGCGCACACACTTGGACTCACTGCGAGATCCACCCAAGCATGATCCTTGGTGTCTGCGCCAGCATCATTCCTTTCCCTGATCACAACCAGGTGCGTGGGAGACTTTATTTTCTGTATGATAGTTTAACCATGCGTAGTCTCCTCGTAATACCTATCAATCCGCTATGGGTAAACAAGCCATGGGTATCTACCTCACCAATTTCTTGGTTCGCATGGACACGATGGCCAATATCTTGTACTACCCTCAGAAGCCTCTTGCCACCACGCGTTCCATGGAATATCTGAAATTCAGAGAGCTTCCTGCTGGTCAAAACGCCATTGTGGCTATTCTCTGCTACAGTGGCTACAACCAGGAAGATTCCGTCATCATGAATCAGAGCTCGATCGACCGAGGTCTCTTCCGGAGTATATACTACCGCAGTTACATGGACCTCGAGAAAAAGAGTGGTGTACAACAGCTAGAGGAATTCGAGAAGCCTACTCGTGATACTACGTTGCGGATGAAACATGGAACGTATGACAAAATCGAGGACGATGGTCTCATTGCTCCCGGTACTGGTGTCTCTGGTGAAGATATCATCATCGGTAAAACTGCACCCATCCCCCCTGACAGCGAGGAACTCGGACAACGTACCCGGACGCACACGAGACGGGATGTCTCAACTCCATTGAAGAGCACAGAAAATGGTATCGTTGATCAAGTATTGATCACGACCAATTCAGAGGGCCAGAAGTTCGTCAAAGTCCGTGTTCGGTCAACGCGTATCCCCCAGATTGGCGACAAATTCGCATCTCGTCACGGTCAGAAGGGAACTATTGGTATCACTTACCGACAGGAAGACATGCCCTTCACCGCCGAGGGAATTGTCCCAGACATTGTCATCAATCCTCACGCCATCCCATCGCGTATGACCATCGGTCACTTGGTTGAGTGTTTACTCTCCAAGGTGGCGACGTTGATTGGTAATGAAGGTGACGCAACTCCCTTCACCGATCTCACGGTTGAGTCGGTATCGAGCTTCCTGCGCCAGAAGGGCTACCAATCCCGTGGACTCGAGGTTATGTACCATGGCCACACAGGCAGGAAGCTCCAAGCGCAAGTTTACCTCGGCCCCACGTACTACCAGCGTCTCAAGCACATGGTAGATGACAAGATCCATTCGCGCGCAAGAGGTCCAGTGCAGATCTTGACGCGACAGCCGGTGGAGGGTCGTAGTCGTGATGGTGGTCTCCGTTTCGGAGAGATGGAACGTGACTGTATGATTTCGCATGGTGTTGCTGGCTTCCTGAAGGAGCGTCTGTTTGAGGCTAGTGATGCCTACCGTTTGCATGTTTGCGATATGTGAGTCACTGGATTCGGTCGACTCCTATCATCTAAACTCATTCTCCGAACCTTTAGATGCGGTCTCACTGCGATTGCCAACCTGGTGGGTGTTATATTATGTCGCAAATTACCATTGACTAATATCTGTGAAATTTAGAAAAAGCAAAGCTTCGAGTGTCGTGCTTGCAAAAACAAAACAGCATGTTCGCAATTATATATTCCTTATGCTGCGAAATTGTTATTCCAGGTTCGTATTCACCCTGAGTCATCGGTGGAATAGAATCCCGCTAATATCACATTGTCACCAGGAATTGCAAAGCATGAACATCGCAGCTCGTCTCTATACTGTCTCCACTGGTCGTGTCAGGGATGGAACATAAGCTATCCTATTTTACGATAGACCGTGTAATCTTATTTAATGTTTTTTCTGGCAACCACGACGAAAGTGTGACCGGAGCCTGAGTGAACGGCCGTTTACACCATGACGTTCTAAGACAGATGTTTGGTCGAGTTAGGAGCTATTTAGTTCTGGAAAAATAAGACCTTGTTAATGTCGAGAAAGCAAATGGCACCAGTACTACTAAGACGCATCGCCCAGGCGTAAGCATAGGCTATGTCAGAGGCGTCTCTCACCTGGAATCGTGAGCGGAAACCTTTCTTTTCCCCAGAGGTTTCTGACGAGATAGAATACAGAAACGGTGAAGGGGATAACTGAGTTCAGTGAGTCCATAAGTCAAAGATGATTTTCCTAACCACCCTCTTACCAACATCCAGTCGAAGTTGCTATCCATACCATCCTCTACGTCAGGCAAATATACCCAGCAGATCTTTTTGTGAGGCGGAAGAAGTACGACACGCCTGTCTTTCAGTCCCGCCATCCCGCATTAAATGACTATATCTCCGGCACTGTCAAGGCTGTAGCCGATGAACTAGTTCTCGTGAGTCTTCAGCATCAGCCCCACATTTCCCCCGCAGTAAACAATTTAATGAAAACAGGGTAATGTGGACAAGGTCGTAGTCGTTATCAAAG